ACATGTTATGGTGTTCTATTCTCTTAAATGTGGCCCATGGGACTTGGCGTGGGCAGGAACCCAAATGGTTTTCGGCAATCGCGTCACAGACAGCCGCAGTTTCTTCAGAGCCATTGACAAGGACAACAGCGACTGGGCACGCAAGGAAGACGGACTGAACCAACCCCAGGCATCGCCTGGTTGATGGCTCTTGAAACTCCTGCACGAAACAACTGGTCGTTGCAGAAGCATACTTGTACCTCCGGGCATTTAGGGCACCTTCCGCCTGCCACCAGATTCAGCTACTCATTCTTTACAAGACGGGAACATTCATGTATTTGCTCATTTTTCCACGCCGGGTGCGTTGTGCTTTTGAGTCTTGGATGTGGAAGTTGGAGGCCCTTTTCGATTTGGGCCACTGTGTTTGCCCCTTTAAGCAACTCTAGAAGCTTCTTGAATCAGTTGAAAAGTACGGACTGTTTGCTGTTTAACTGGGGACGAAACCTGGATCCACAAATTAACTCAGCGGAGGTGGGGAGCTCGACGCAATGGAGCTGGCGCAAGGGCTATTGAAGTTGGGTATCTCAGTGTCTTGGATACAAAGAAGATGGAGGTCAGGGTCAGGCCAGAGAGTCTGGAGTCTTGAAGAGCTAGGATGACTGGCTGGACTACTTGTAGGAACCGATCCTTTCTGCCTCTCAGAAACTTCCATGTGCTGGACAATTTTGAGAGGGGGGATCTTGGGGGTGGTAGAAGCTGCTAGAATCCTAGAAGTGGCACCTATATAGCCAGATGATCAACATTTGGCATGTCCAGTTCGCAGTGGCTTTGGAGTTGCTGTAGCCTCGTTCTTGTTGATACAGTGGACTAGCGAGACTAGATGGGTTCAGCTGAGCTCAGGATGCCTGCTGCAGCTCGTCTATTGAATCATGTTTAGACTGCTGAGGTCGAAAGCGAAGATATGATGAAAGAGGTGGTGAGTTGCATTGCTCCTTGACGCACTGCATAGTTTGACCTATGTATATAGAGGATTGTGGAGGTATTTAGACATGGTGTGTGAAAGTGATTGCAAGCCATGATATACCAGCCGCTCGGATGGATGAATGAGCAAAAGTCCAAAGCTGTCAAAGATCCAGCTGCATGTTGTGACTTGGTCCCCACTTAATCCACAGCATTAGCTCCAGGATTCTGACATTTATATCATGAGTTGTTTTTCAGGACAAGAATGCAAGTGGACTGATCGACAAGGAGGAATTCGTGAAGGCTTTGCAAAACCCGGAGGAGCTCTTGGCCAGCCCTGAAGCGAAGCCCAAGGAGACCACCTGAGAGCACTGGTGATTGTGGGAGTGCAGGGACTTGGATGCGTTTTGTGCTGAGCCTTTTGTGGAAATGTATGCGGCATGCGTTATAATAGAATTCATAGGTGTAAGTTTGTTCATGATGGATGCTTAATTTAATCATTTCAGCATCCTTTGGACATTACACTTGAAGAAATAGACACGAGCACACTAGATTTCAAAGGGGTTGCTTTTGCAATTCAGTGAAGATCAAATGCATGCAGGAGCGTCCTGTTGTTCAACCCGGCAGTGAAGAAGATGCCACTAAAGCACTTGCCGCCATTCATGAGCAGCTCTCAACATCCAAGAGCCTCGGGTGCCAAAAAATCAACATGTCCAAGACTTTTGCTTTGAGTGTTGACGGTGCAGAGTTATTCTGTTGAGATGAATGCCTTTAGTCCTATCGTGCCCACATAGTATACCTTTGGGTGTGAAATCGTTTGTGAAAGGCGTCCGGGTGCAGTCCAGCTACATTAGGGCCTCAATTGCCTTACATATTGCATCATATGGCTGGGACCTGTCCAAGCATACAAGTCGGAGCAGTGTCCCACTGTGTTTTTCATAGTCTTGAATCTTGAATATATTGCATGATCTCCTGCTAGGCTGTGTCCCATGATGATACTGTAGCTGTTTGAAACAGTGCTAAGACAAGCAAACTTGTTGTTTGGTGCCGGTGGCCACAAAATGCTTTTAAAATTCAAGTATCTCTCATGACCCTCCAGGGAATGGTGTTTCCATGGGTTTTGCTAAGATTTGAGTGACTTCTCGCGGAGATGAATGACTTTATGTGGACGTGACATGACTTAACAACGCCACCAAGTAGGTGTGCTTGGTGATGCTATTGAACTAGTGTCAGTCTCAATCTACTTGACAGGACCCGCACGACGGATTGGTTCTACAGGATGGACACCAGTCGAGATGGTAAAATCTCAAGAGCAGAACTGAAGAAAGGGCTGAAGGAGATGGGCTGCAATTTGAATGCCTCAGACTTGAAAGCAGTTTCTAGGCGGCATTGGTTCAGTTGTTGCCTGTTCAAGTTAAGCCTTTGCATTTGTGTTGGACTTTCATGTCCAGGTCCTGCTATACCTTGACAAAGATGACTCTGGTAGCATCAGCCTTCAAGAGCTTCAGAAAGGCTCCTTTCATAGCATGGTTTGTTTTGATAGGTTTTAACTTGGTGTACAACCTTGCACACTTGCATTTACAAGCTTCACAGTCCATAGGTCAACGTCTCAGAAGCAAACGTCCCTCCACCAGGTATGAATCGAGCTGTGAGAGCTGTGGCAGAGGCTGCGAGCAAGCTGGAGCCAGTGGTCGAGGGCCCTGCCAAAAATGTTTACGAAGCACTCCTATTGATCAATGCAGCCTTGAGACCCTCAGCTGCTTTCATGAAACCCGATAGGTTTGCACCTTTTGTTCCACATTCGGCTTCAGCGTTGCCAGATTGTGGTACGGAGAGCGGTGCTTGCGCTTTCTCGCTGAGCACGGGCCGAGGAAGCAACACCCAATTGATCTTCGGGCTGCGGGTCACCGACGGCCGTAGCTTCTTCAAAGCAATGGACCGAGATAGCAGCGGCACATTGGATCCACCGGAGGTGGCTCGGGGCTTCAAAAGACTGGGCGTGGAAGTATCTGAGACATTGCTCGACGAGATCGTGGTGGCCGTAGATGTCAACAAGAACGGGATGATTGAAACTTGGCCAGAGCGCGGGTTGGGCTTCGCGGTTTAACATGTAGGCTAAGCAACTAGCAATGTTGGTGTATGTGGAGTTTTGCCCAAAGCGTTCAACGTAGACACAAGACTTGCTAGATTCAAATCCCTGCCAAACGCAAGGAAATGAGCGAATTGCTCCATGCTTTGAAGCTTCCACAAGACATCGCAGCAGAAACTCCCCCACCTGAAGCGGAAGCTGATAAGGAGAAGGAGGCTTTTGGTGAGGCTCCTGGTGAGTCTTCTGGTGAGCCTCCGGGTAAGGCTCCTGAAGAAAAGGCCACAGAGCCAGAAGCAGCGGCTGAGGAAATGGACAGCCCAGATGTTCTGATGACAGCTAAAGCTGTGGCAAGTCCGTCTCCAAGCCGCAGGGCTTCTGCACAGTCGGAAAAGATCAGCACTATCCCTGAAGAAGGTGAGCATCAGCCTGTGGATCCGGTGGAGCCGGTGGAGGAGCCTGAGAAGTTCACTGAGAAGCCTCGCGTGTCAGGATCTAGCATAAAGTCTGGCAAAGTTGATATGGCACAGCAGGTGAGGCAGTCCACAACAGCAACACGAAAATCTCAGGCAACTGGCCGTGGAGGGAGCCCTAGTCAGGGTGCAGGAAACCCTTTCAAGAGAGCATCGAGGGCAGCAGGCAGCAGCGCGCCTGCAGCACGCAACTTGTCAAAAAGGAGCGCAAAAGCCAAGTACATCCCAGTACCCATTTAACATAAAAGGTGGAAGTCGACACCTGTAGAGAAATAATGAGAATATGGGATGATATGGGATGCATCCTGCTAACATTCGGACAAACCTCCATCAGAAGTTCAAGGTGTTTACACCCAGTTTCCAACACAGCGGCTTTCCTATCCTTCCCTAGGCAGAGGCACCCAGCTCAACACCCGCGCCACGCTCAACCGGGGCTCGCCATCGCCACGGCCAAGCAGAGCCACCACCATGGGAAGGACCACAGTGACCAACAGGTAGTTTCAGCTTCAGCGGCTTGGTGGCAAACAGGCAAATTTGTGTCCCACCGTTGACAAATGAAAGCAGATTCTGCAAACCTCATTCTTTGACCAAGGTTAGGACTTCAGCCATTGCAAAACTGCAAAGGCATGTGGAGTTTGATGTGGGACTCCAACCAAATGGCTCAACGCGAGTGCAATTCTAGAATTCTAGAGTGCAATTGCATCACTGTGTTCTTTCTTGTTGCAGTCCTACGCTTTGAGCCATTGGTGGGTCTAGACACCGATAACGCAGCTCGCATATTGCGGCACGCTGTCTCCAAGCTGTTAGACTGGCCCAATATTGTCCACAAGTTCTTGCGTTCACTGATAAACTTGATATTGACAAATTTTGAAACATGTGTTTTTGTTGAAAGATGTTCAACCGGCCGTTTGATCAAGAGAGGTTGAAAGTTGAAAGTGTTTTGAATGCATTTACACTTGTTTGGATACAGATGTAGTGGCAGGTATTGCAATGAACTGACATGTTTCGAAGGAAATTGCTGCAAACACACACTCATATAACTCTTTATGCAGAGGTTTGACTGGCTTGGTTTGTGACGCATGTTTCACACGTCGGCGTTACGCTTTCGAGATTAGCTACATGCACAACCTAGCACCTTGCCCTTCACATTGACTAAAAAAGCCTAACTCGTATATAAGTGATTTCCAGGTTGATGTGTGTAACCTGGGCCCGGGCAATGTTGAACACGATAGCAGCAGAAGGGCAAGGGTGTTTGCTTGTGTGGGTAGCTGGTCCCCGTGGCATGCCAAAGTCCAACAAAAGGAACTGATGCATAGCATTCGACATTGTGGTCAGAGAAAGGCCCCCCAAACCGAATCCAACTCGCAATCTGTGTGTGATGCTTTAGAAGCTGCACTCAATAACTGCGGACACTGCACTTTTGCACGGTTGACAGATGTTGACAGTTTGGGCACGTGTTGGAGTTGCCTAAAGATGCTGAGTTGCCCAAGTTGTCCTGCAAGGCTTGGTGATTTGTTTACGCTCGTGGATCCTCCGCTGGATGTGCAGTACACATCTCGGTGCTAGGGAGCGATGAATGCATGTTTGCGTTGTGCTGCTGAATGCTGTGCAGTGCAACTATGTATATACACTACTAGTTTTGCAGTAGGGTTTGTCCATGCTGGGTGCTTTGCGAGGCCAGTGGTGCAGCAACTGAGGGTTAGAGCCCCAGACCAGTCGCAACATGCATTGACACAAGAGACTTACTTTCAACCAGGCGCCCATGCTTGGGGGCATTGTTTCATTATATATTGAATGATTGAAATTGCTATAGTTTCTTATCCATGTACTTCAGTCTAGTTGCTCCAAATGAATAGGTACGAGTTTGGACCGGAGGAATGTTGACCAGTTCTGCAGAGCGCATGGAGAAAGCGGGGAGTTTGGCTCTCATCAGGTTCAGGTGACGAGGACATCAAAGGACGGGGATCGCTTCAAGGTGCCCTAGAAGTCTGCAGTGTCGGGAGGGGTGCCCTGCACTTGTCCCATTTTGTTCATACAAGTCTCTTATAATGTTTAACACTTGAGGCGCTTGCATTGTGAGGAACCAGAAAGATTCCATGAAACACAGAGGCATGGCCGGGCATGGGGATGCGGTGGTACTTTCAGTTTGCGCTCGAGGTGCTCGAAGCTTTGCACCTGGAAAAGCGCAGCCTCCCACCTGATGCACCACACGTTTTGCTGGAGACGGCGTCGATGATGGGCCTTGCTGTGCTCAGCGTGGGATTTTTTTTGCCTGGCTCAGGAGTGTTTGTTATGTATGATTGTTTTTCCTTCATGCTATCACGCAGCTCATTCAGTATACAGCAAGGGCGCTCCACCAGCTGAACGGAATGCTGTGGGGAGATGTTGTTTGGGTTTTTATATGTCGGTCCAGTAGAGGTCACGACCCCTCTTTCAGGCTGGTTGCCCTATATTTGGTTATTTGTACATTTTTCCTACGAGTGGAAAAGACTTAGGGTACTTACCAGACAAACGAGCAATCAGAGAGACAATCAACTCGACTGGAGCTCAAAATCCATACAAAGCGATTGCTCATCCAAATGTATAACCACTGTTTTTACGATATTTATATGCAAAACTGATCAAACATGTATATCTGTGTCTTGCATGAACATATGCAGAGGCACCTGATGCGGGACCTTGAAAGGCTTTGCGGGGAACTTTCTCATGGATGCGCTTGAGGAGGGTAAGCATGGAGCGATGAACACCCCCAAAATGATAGTATATATTACAGTATATAGTATATAGTATTGTCATTACTCTTTTGACCACAGCAATGCAAACAAAAGGTATTTTGGTACTTAGGGTGAGTGGTGACCCACTTTTGCTGTCACATAGACCGGCGTAGGCCAGACCCAGCACCTTTCAAATAAAGAATGAGAACAAAGCAGCACGCAGCAAGAAAAATTGGCCAAAATATATATGTATGCAAAGCATCACCAATTGGATGATGATAGCGAGCCATTGTTTGCATGCAGCATGCTATTCGACTGCTAGGAGCCAAAGAAGCGCTCCTTGGCAGTGAAGACTTGTCGACTGTTACTAGCGGCAGCTGCTGGCGAAGTGGACGCGCATTGCCCCGGTGTTCTCAAGCAGTTGGACTGTAAGCAAGCGGAAGGGATCGCAAAGTATGATCACTCATCCATTGAACACAGTGACAAGTGTCTTGCAACATGATTGTCGATTGTAGATCATCAGAATGATCATTGGATCTAAACTCTTTTTGGACTGGCCAACCGTGGATCTCAGGCTTTCAGACTTTCTTGGGCTTTGGCGGCTCATTCACTGAATCCTCTGCAGACTTGCTGCAGCGAATGTCTCCTGGCATGCAGGTCCGCGTCGTGGTGTCGGTCGAGCGGACCAAGTCTCATTCGATTCGTTGGAGCTTCCAGGACCGAGTCCTGGACGCATACTTTAGCCAGGACATATTATGGGATGGCCACGCATTTGGTGCGAACACCCGGGCATTTGGTGATGAGTCGATTCAGTGTTCCGGGTGACCAGGGTGTTGTTTTCTTTTTTGGGGTGGGGCATTGTTCAAGCCGATATTTGTTTGCTAATCCCTGGCATGATGCATTTCTGCCCACCATGGCATTTGCTACGGTGTGATGCTTCGTGAGGAGAAAGGACTTGCCTACTCCTGGGGTCGTTTGCACATGGGCCGCTGCCTTACCTGCTTTGACCCTGTTGTCCCTTCGTGTTCTCCTGCGAAGTCGTGTTGAAATCATAAGTATTATTACATTGTATTAGAACGTTGGCCTTTTTTGTGAGTGGACAACTTCCTGAAACTGGACACTGTATCGACAGTACATGCAGAGTCAAACTCAGCTCCAAAACCACCAGAAGAAAGCAACCAAAGTGACATCGGCACAAAACAGTGCTCAACGGCACAGAAAGTGAAGATCCAACATCAAGATCCCCAAACTTGGCATTAAGAAATTCTGAAGTTCAACTGCTTTCTTGCAGGGCATCCTCAACAAAAAGTCCGTAGGATTGCTTTTCCCAAGCAGTCTTGCAACGTTTAGTTTCATGGTACAAACGCTTGGCACAAGCGACCCTTGGACCCTTGCAAGTGCAGTTTGAGTTCAGCAGTGCACTGACTTTCCAGTGGCTGCTTCCGGAAACACATGGGTTGCAAATCATAATTCCATCAAAGCCGAGGCTCCTGTGATTTTTCGAGGCGCAAGGAACTTCGGTGTTCTGAAAACCATTTACAAAGGGTACTTGACTTGGGGCTCCATTTAGAATACGCTACTAGGGGCTCCTGGCATCGCTACTAGGAGCGAATACGCTACTAGGGGCTCCTGGTAGGTTCAGTTTGGACTGGAGAGGTCACCAATGAGTGCCCACGGGCAGGGGAAACTGGAGTTGCGTCGGTGAAAATGCCAGGGCCACAGTCCTGCTGCTGGGTGTGTGAACAATCTCCGGCATGGCCTTGTTGTTGTGATGTGGGTGCTCATTATGTTGCGGCATGTTGCATTTTCATTTTGATGATGCGCTCATTATGCACAATGTGCTCCAGTCCTATTTTAGTGACTTACCTTGTGCCCTGTCATTTTCAAGCATTTGCCGAACTCCAGCTTGCATTTTGCGAGCTGAGGATACCGAGCTCAAGAGTTTCACCATCCAAAGGTACAGACAAACGATTTTGCCAATGGTCCGCAAGGCACAAGTGGTCGGAAGCTCAACTTGTGGCTGGCGGCTATTGTTATGATTGTATTCCACAACGGTGTGCCAAGTGCCTCTCGCGATTTCAAGTGATGTGCTTGGATGTTGGGGGGTTTGCTCCAGCCAGGATGCAGCTGTAGGAGCCGGAGGCGCTTTGTGTGTGAGAGTTTGAATCTCACTAAGGCAGCTGCGAAGCCACTTCAACTTGTTGCCTCGCCTTGGAGCCCTCCAGCGTGGATGAAGGAGCACATGCACAAGCCGCTTATTTGTTCATGGTTGTTTCATGTTGTTTCCCGTTCTCTCACCCTTGTTCAGAAAGTCTCAGCCCCTACATTGAAGAAACTAAATGTGGTTGAAAGGTGGCTGGACTGCTGAATGCACTGTGTGATTCCTTCACTCTTCAAGCGGCATGCGACCGCATTCTTGTTAGCATTCTTGCACACATTGTCGGAAATTACAGTGGTAGTCACTGTAGTTTGTGTTTAGCACCGGCCAGGACACCCAGAAAATGCTAAATGGTGGCAGCCTCCTGCCACAGTTTAGGACGGAGACTTCGTGCAATGGCGTGCCCAGACTTCACGGCGACAGCATCCAGAAACAGCAGAATGTGTTGACTATTTATGAGGCATGTGAGCAAGTCAGTGACGCATTATGTTAGGCAACATCTAAGTGCTCAACTGTGAACGGACTTTCGAGATTGAAAGGAGCTCTTGGGCCAAGCATTTCGTTTACTTTGCGGAAGCCCTCGCAGCAGAGGGAATCCCTCTCTGGGGCTTCACTGCCTGGGAGCCAAGCTTTTGGTGCTACTGGTTGATGTTGAGTTTACGGATGTTGAATGTTACCTTTCGATGGAAAGTTGGGGCTCGTTTCTTTTCCGGCCTCACTGCCCTATTGCACCCCCCTGAGGTACAAAATGAGCCCCGAGCGTGCGATAACCTGGATTATTGTTGTGCAGATTGTGTTTGCTGAAGCAGTGTGATTTGCAGCATTCATGTGATCACAATCATTTGCCAAAGTCCGGAGGTACTTTGGACATATCTGGAGAGCACACTTTGACGGTGATATGTTATACACACTTGAAGTTATATGATATTACTTTATATATATATATCATTATGCAGACTATGTGCATGGGTTTGGACCAGTTTGAGATTGAGATGAATTTAGGTTTGCATCAACCACGGCTTGCCAAGCCAGACATGGAGTTGCTTTTGTAGAGACACCTCGCACAATTGAATAGATAAGAGCAGAAGCGGTCATATTGCTTCTTTGCAAGCCATATTGAGAAAACTCTGGCACAAAAAACATTCAGAGCCGGGGTCAGCTCAGGGCCACACCATGGGAGAATTGCCTTTACACTGCAGAAGAAGAACGAGATTTTGTTCGTGATCACCTGGGACCTGCACTCCAGGTGCTGTCCCGCACAAAGTTCTGCGACTTTTTGCCGGGTTGTTGTTTGAGCTCTTTGGGTACATGTTTGGGTGTGGATTTCTGCTTCCTGTTTAGATGTTTTGGCACATAGCTTGACATTGCCGATTTCAATTTTATAGTGATGATGAGTCGTGTGAACTAGTCGTGGCAGGCCAGTGGTTTGGACTTGAAGCTGTTAATTTGGGACCACAACCGCCACTTGGTGAGACACTCGCAAGACGTTTTTATCCAGCGCTTTGTCATTGTTTGTGTAGGTATGTGTGGTGAGCTCATGTGAATTCAGTGGCTGCATTCGTATTTGCTGATGATTAGGCTATATGTTATATGCGCTGTTCCGCGCGTCAAACATGGGTGAGGATAAAGACTGATAAAGCAAATATGGTATTCAGAGAGAAACTGGCGAGCTTGAACGGGCATTCATGCACGTTACCGAATCTGGGCCACAGTGAACAGAATTTGCACTCGCTTGGCGTTCCAAGGTGACAATATGTTTGCCCGAGCGCAGCTACCTGAGCCGGCTGAGCCTACGACTTAATACGATTTATGGGTAACGTCCTGCTTCACCAAGGCATACCATTTTCAGCGACCCAGAAGCCGCCAAATTTGTTTGGGGGTTTGCTACTCAGAAGTGCAAGTGAGACTCATCATCGAGGGGCTGTTCACAATGATGGATTAATGCATGATGCATTTTGTGGGAGAACGGGCGATCACGACAGTCGTGTTTTGAACTGAGCGACCCCAGGGCACTTGACAACTCTGAAAAACTCACTCTGCGAAACTAAGACAAACTGCCTTCAAGAAACAATAATACCAGCATAGCACAGCACATTTCAAGCAACCATATATCATATAATATGATATATTATATATGTTGTGTTTTTCCATTGCCGTGTTTTTGATGTTTTTGTGCTTCCATGAAGAGTTTGTTTTCTTGGTGAACTGGTGTTTGTTCTGCTTGTTCAGTGTGTTTTGCTCATTGTTTCTCATGTCCGGCCAGTGGGGTCTGCCGCATTGACATGTTGCCTTTTTTGATGTTTTGATGTTTGGGTGGCTGGGTTGCTTGCTTGCTTGCCTGCCTGCCCGCCCGCCCGCTTGCTTGCTTGCTTGACTCGCTTCGCTTGCTTTGTTTCTTTGCTTTTCGGATGGTTTTGTTCGTTTGCCGTTTTCAATGCGTTTCGCGCCTGTTTGTTCATGGCTGCAAAGTGGAAAGAATTAAGCCGCTAGTT